TATCATCATAGGTCATCTCATACATCACTATAGCTGCTTCAAATAAAATCTGATGTTATTTCCTAACTTCTTAAATGTCTTAACTTTTCTCTCATTGCATTTGTGGATTAGTTTATCTCTCCTACTAATTAATGATAATTTTTTTTTATTAGACATATATGGCTATGTCAGTTCTTTTTCTTCGAAAAAATCACTTTTTTTTTAGATTCTTCATCAAAATCGAAAGAAACATTGAACTCTAATGCATTATATTTAGTAAAATGGACAGTACAGTTAAAAAGATAAATACACGAATTTCATGATAGTTTCACTCATAGTTAGATGCGAGCATAGAAATCATGAAAACGAGTGTGCTTGGTTATTTTTGATCATCACCATGTATTTTAAAATCCTACAAAGTCGTCTAATATTGAAAGTATTTTGTACTATCCCTCTTTTAAAAGAGCAAGTATAAGTAAACTTAATTTAACGCATCATTGAAAATAGTCTAACATAAATATGTAACAATTCTTAGAAAACCTAAAATATCATTGCGACTCCTGATTAGATTTCATTGATCTATTGTAATAGCTAAGAATGGATTTGAATCAAGTTTAATTTAATTCTAAATTTATAAATAACAGAGTGATAGAAGAAATACAAATGTTGAAAACAAAATCTTCAAGACACATGCGAGAATATAAATAGATTATTTTTATTTGATCCTAATCATGACTAGTCCTTTAATAGATTCTCTATTCTTTCACGGAGTCATGATGTCAGATAATGAAGTCTTTTATGTTCTATCTTAGACTTTTTTTTCTTGTCAACAGTTATTTCACATTATTGTCTAAAAATGGCATGCATCGTAGAAATGAGATTTGGATCTCATAGCATCATCTGTTAAAGTTGCATTTAGTGAGACAGAACTGTTAATAGACTCAAAAAAGGAAAATAGGACGTAATCCATTTGAGATTGAATCTATGATAGTTCTTAACAATTTATTTTGGTTTTCTACTGTTTATGTATTAGATAAGTCCATTTCATTGAATTCCACTTATTTTGCTTGTCTCTATTGAGTTTTGAAGATTATTTGTGACCAGCACCTAAACAGTAGATAACTTTTCTAGCCGTTATGTCTTCTTCAGTATATATTTGATTAATTGTTTTCATGCAAAATGAAGGGCATTACTATGCTCTACAGTGTCCAAAGAGTTGAGAATTTCACAGTAATGCTCCAGAAATCACTGAATGCTTTTTTCGCTGTGGGAAGCATGCAATTCCAAAAATATCGTCATAACTCTCGCCAAAGCTTCTGTTGTTGATAAGACGTTTTACCAAAAACTAATAAAAAAACATTATTCTGCAGAAAAATTTTCGCTCTCACGTTTGATGAATTTTGCGCATGAAAACTCATTCAAACCTTCTTTTCATGTAGTTTAGATGTTAACTCATAACTATTGACCTATAAATCACATACATATTCTCACCTTTGATTTAAAAAGAGCACAGAATGTTTATGTTAATTAGGGATTTTGAAATATCTGTGCATTCTCTTAACTGGTCAAAAAATCAAAAGAAACATAGTCTTAAGAACTTCCCGATTGACACAGAATCCTGATAGGCAGAGTCAGTTATCAGTACCTTTTAAGCAGGATCTAATAAGGATAAAAATCGAAGTCTTTACAGATATGAACTCAATAGATATCTTTCTTAGTTAAAGCAATTGAGAACAAAAACTGCAGGACATGATTTATAAACAACTAGCTGAGGTACCCGGCGTTGTCCGGATAAGTTCACACTTTATACATGCAAACAATATCCAGTTATACTTGGGAACGTCTAAAACGCGAAATTAGGGGGAAGTAGTAGCGCACAACTACTGTTTTTACCTTGTGCTAATCTTGATCTAAACTGCTAGGAGTATTCTGAGTCTCGATCCCATCTGATCCCACTCTCTACGAATATGGAATAACAACACTGAAAGATTGTTCTCATGTGAATAGTTCCGCATCTCTATGGGTGTATCTCAAAAAGACATTTGTATCTCATATATTTTATTGGCTTTCTATATTTCTGAGTACATCCCGCAACATATACCTATCTCAATGGACTCTGATCCCGATCGGCTCTTGTCTCACCTAGTCAGGACTTCCGTTCTGATCTCGAAATTGTTTGATTCCATTTTTAGAAGAAATTCACTTGCGCAATCGATTTTTCTCACAAACTTGCGAGAAATACCCACTTCAATCAAAACTAAACACAACTACATGTCTACTTGATCTAAAGCTTCAATTTTACAGTATTTATTGATTAGAAGAGTTAAGACAGTATATCATGCTTTGCACTATTGAGAGCACACTGGAGTTTTACTGGTATTAAAGAAGGACAGACAAAAAACCTTTGTGCAAACGATCTATTGAGAGCTGAACTATCGAAATCTGACGAACATAGTCTTGAATCTAACATACCATTTATTTGAAATTCACACCGCACGTGATCCAAAAGAAGGAATTTCTCTAAAATTCTACGTGTATTTCATATGTTTCACTCAATTAATTCACGGGTCGTCCAATAAGGCATAATGTTCGACAGAATTTCGATTTCTAGTCACCTTCCAGGGGTCATTCACTGATATTCGTTTATTCAAATTTTGATGACTGTTGGCCCTGGGTTGATCATTACGATATCGAGATGACTGGACGTCAAATTTCAATTTATCATGTCTAAAACTCCTTACCACATCATTTTCTCGAAAAAATAATTATTTTCGTCCATTTTCTTAGAAGTCGAGATTCTATTGGCTTAGAGACAACCAATCAGCTTTTGAGGTAAATGGACCTATATTTGGATTTATCATCTCTAAAAACCCCTACTTCATCATTTTCCCAAAAGTATAGGTCTTTGGTCTGGTTTTTTTAACAGCTGATTTCCTATTGGTTTCATGGCACCCAATCAGATTTCGATAGTTGTCCTGTAGCACTAAATACTGCAATCTGATTGGTCAGCTACGAAGGTGAGATTTTCGCAGGTGTAAGAGCAACTTTTTTCGAAAAAAGTAGATGTTGACCTTCTCCTGGATGAGACGAAGATTCCTGGAAAGTTTGGTTGCATTTGCTGGTACAGTGTGGAAATTCATCAAGAACAGACAGACAGACAAACAAACATTCTTCTTTATATATAAGAAGATAGACTACATCTTAATTATCTTTTGGTTTACAGTTTAGTCATATATGATATACATTGAAGTCATGGTCAATCAACAAGAAAATAAGTGGAATAATTAAATTTCATACATCATTGATATCGGATTTAGATCATATAAAAATTAATTTAATGAATCACATTAAAATCTTTCCAAATTCTCATTTTATTTGTAATTATTGGTAGAAGAAGAACAAAACACATCAAATAATGATATCATCAAAAGTTAATTACTGATAGGATTCGAATAGTATTGTCTGACCTTCTTCATTTTCAAAGTTTATCTAGTTTTTTTTAGTTAACATTCTAATAAAATTCATCTTCACCTGTTGTAAGATCATACATGTTGTGTTTAATACTATTTATTCATATATTTTTTTAATATATTAAAAAAGTGGCTATCTTTTATTAAAAAAGTCTCTATAGATAGTAGAATTCAAAATTTGATCAGCAACAATATATATTTTTCAAATAAACTAACATATTATTTCTTTTAACAGCATGCAGCTTAATTTCTTATCATAGGTAGGTGCCACGTGGACATGCTATTAATTTGATATAGTCTGTAAATTTTACATCGAAATATTCTAGAATATCATGTCTTATTTCAAAGTCTAATGAGACAGGATGTAGGTTTTATCTGAGAAGATCGTCTCTACTTGTTATTCGTCTGATTTATTCCATCACATTGAACATCACAACATTGTTATTCTAAAACGTTCATGTATATACTCATTTTCACATGTCATTTCCAAAACTCTTCAAATATCATTATATTCTTCAGGTTTCTGCGTCTTACGAGTCATTCTGAAGACTTTGTTTTATCAAGTTAGAATTCGGTATCAACAACTTTAAAAAATTTTCGACTATTGGCAACAAAATATTTCATGTAAACTTTTATGAGTCCTCTTCTAAACGTTAATCCATCGTCTACAAAAAGTGGCGTATATAGAAGGTCTAAACTATGAGATTTACTTTAATGCTCGAAACATCAAAAATTAGAAAAACCTGTTTAGAAGATTTCCAAAACTACTTTATCGTATGATTGAACCAATATAAACTAGCAATAATTTTTGTACTATCCTTCTGTTAAAAGCGCGAATACAAGTAATTTCCAATATGATCAGAGAAATGAATCTTTTTTTTCTATAAAGACAAATTTCTATTGAATATGTTTATGAAAATAGTAGAATATTAATGTATGATAATCCTTAGAATAGTCGAGAATAAATTAGAATCAAATTTTTAAAGTGATATTGTAACTTATAATTCATCACTCAAGTTATTCAATCTTTATTTAATGTGAAATATTCAACTGAAGCTGATTTACATCTACACTTTCGAGACGTTATAATATACTTATGTACTAGAGAAAAAGTAGTTAATAAATTATAATAATCTACAGTCTTTTCTCCCATCACAATCATGGCTTAGATATTCTATTCTAGTATTGTGTAATTAATATAATATATACCAAACAATATTTATAGAACTCACACCCTCAATGAAATCAAGAATTTCACTATATTTCATGCATAGAAATAACTTTTCTGTAGATTCCTAAACAGAAAATTCTGAGACGATTAGCAGTCTCTCTTTGATAACAATAACGATATCTTTTTCTTTTTTGTTCATTGTAGGGATTTCTAATATTCCAGTCAATGCTACATGGAAACAGAATGGAGATACCGTTGCTGGAGGTCATGGAGAAGGCGATGCCACCAATCAACTCAACCGCCCTTACGGTCTCTTCGTTGATGATGATCAAACGATAGTCATCGCTGACTTTTGGAATCATCGTATCATCCAATGGAAGATGGGTGATACAAATGGACTAGTTGTAGCTGGTGGAAATATTGTAGCTGGACACAAAGGATATGGGGATGGATTGCATCAATTGCTTCAGCCAACTGATGTGTTAATCGATAAAGAGGCAGATATGCTCATTATTTGTGATCGAGGGAATCGACGAGTTGTACGATGGTCTCGTCGTAGTGGCATACCTCTTGGAGAAATTCTCATCAACAACCTCAGTTGTCGAGGATTATTCATGGACGATCAGAGATATCTCTACATCTCTGACGACGAAAAACATGAAGTAAGACGATATCAAATAGGAGACAAGAATGGAACTCTCGTTGCTGGTGGCAACGGCGAAGGTTATGATCTCAATCAACTCAGCGTTCCAACCTACATCTTTGTCGATCAACAACAGTCTGTCTACGTGTCAGACTGGAATAATCATCGTGTGATGAAATGGGATAAAGGTGCAAAAGAAGGAATTGTCGTTGCTGGAGGTTATGGTAAAGGAAATGCTCTGACACAATTGCTGCATCCACAAGGACTGTATGTCGATACCTTGGGTACCATCTATGTAGCAGACTCATTCAATCATCGAGTAATGCGTTGGTCTAAAGGAGCGACACAAGGCGCTCTCATTATGGCTGGAAATGGTGAAGGAAAAGGAGCAAATCAGTTTTACCGTCTCGGAGGTTTGTTCTTCGATCGATATGGCAATCTCTATGTTACCGATTGGGGAAATAATCGTGTTCAACGTTTTGATATTGAATAAACTCATTGTGAGTGATTCATCTTTTCTTTCCTGTCGCTTCGAAATAA